AAAAGAATCCCCTTAATCAACAAATGCCTTGGTTGAACTACAGATAGCAAATAAACTGAGATAAAGTTTAAGATAGCTGTATTTCAAGACTTGCGAGTAGAAAAACCTTTAAGAGTAACTGGAGAAAGAACAACAGGACTAGACACATTGTACTAAAGAAAATTTTCTGAATAAATTTTCTCAGACAAACAGCTGTTTAAGTCTCCTGGAAACAGGATTCTTCTTCGCTGCTACACAATTTTTGCAATTGCACTTGATTTTTCCCTGCAAATCTCGGCTTCAAGGTCATCACGTGAGAGTGTCGATAGCCCCCTCGTTATCTGAACACGGATGCTGCTTCAAGCAATTAACAAACCACACATCGCTTAAAGCTTATTGTCCATTTAGCTTACGTTTACGTAGCGCATTTGCTGCGCAACGAATTTGACATTGCGCAGCAATAGCTGGTGGCGCATCAGCAACACATACATAGCAAAAAGCGTATATGAACGGAGTCATCAATGAACTGGTCAAGCCGGCCACAACCCTACACTCTCGCTCTCGTACAGCATCCCAACACACAGCTGGCTGCGCTTTCAGCTTGATTGACCACATCTCGCGGACTCTCTTCTGTACGCGCTTCGATGAGAAATCGAAAACGAAAGAAACTTCAATAGCCAACGATTCATCGTATAGCAGCTTTTTCAAAGCTTAACGTTAGGGGAACTGCAAATGAGCGAAGCTAAATGCTGAGTAGAATCATATCGAGAGAAGGGGTCTTCTTGTTCCACAAAAGTTTATATCGAACTATTGCCTATTTAAATACTATCTGAAACTGCTCAGACCCGGAAATTTATGACATTCCAACCAATTGCTGACAAATAGGCTATCGGTTGCAAATTTGCCTATGTGGATAGAACCAAGTATTCAAAAAGCCGGTGAATTGCCACAAGTGTTCTTGCCGCATAATCTTCAATTTCCTATAATTTGAGTCTTTTCCATGCTTTATGATTAAAATAAATACGAATCAAATTGGTGGACAACAAGTAACACAAAAAGAATCTTAAAAATAGGGTTCTTTCATTAAATATCGTAGAATATCTAGATAGATATTAT